CCCCAAAACCCCAAAACCCCAAAACCCCGTCATGCTTAAATTAAAGAAAACAACAGGTAATTTAAAGAATATAAGATCTCTACAAAATCATCATTTATAATAAAAATAGATATGAAAATACAAAAAATCTATTGCTTCATTAAGCTTTTGGTTTTCAGCTTGGTTTTGACTTTAAATTATTCAAAAATAAATCCTAAATATGCAGATATAAGAGATCTGATAGACATTGATAAGATAAATTTATAGCATGATCTTTAAGAAAATAAAGTTAGCTAAAGTATTTGAAATTACAATGTCCCCACAACGTAGGCTTATTCTTAATACAGTCTACCTTGCTTAACTTGTAAATTCTCATTTGGAGTTATAAGATTATCTTACTCTAATGAAGTTTCAAAATTTATCCTCATTAAAATACTGCCTTTGATATGCTATCTTGTAACTGATCTTGGATATGAGTTATGCTATGGCTATGTTAACAATTTTGTAGATGTGGGGATAGACTAAGTATTTAAAGGCCCACTGCACGAGACATTCCTTTGTGAATATATGCTAGAAATGTGTCCAAACAATGCTGTATCTCGAGTTAAGTCTATTTAAGAATTTTAAACTAGTATTCTAGCTAATAAACCTGTTTCAATCTAAGATGATAACTTTATTAATAGCATTTATTCGACGATTGGTTCTTCCACAAGATCTACCTTAAAAATGCTTCATCTGTCAGATATGCATCTAGATTTCTAGTATAAAGAAGGCACTTCAAATACCTGCGATAAGGTCATATGCTGCAGAGCGATCAACGGATTTCCATCAGACACAAACATCTAATCTGGCTAGTACGGAGAATATAAATGTGACTCACCTATTAAACTGCTAACAAGCATGGCAGACTATATTAATAATGTAGTTTAACCAGATGTGATTATATGGACAGGGGACAGTGTGCCTCATTCAGAGTCAATGGGTATTGGTTTTGAAGAGAAAAAGAGTTATTTCCAATGGATTAATTAGTTTCTTAAAAGTAACTTCACTAATATACCTTTATATCCTACTATTGGAAACCATGATTATTCGAAAACTAATTTCGAAGATTTTACCCGACAAGAGCCACTATTTTAGTATCTGTAGACCGATTGGAGTTATTGGCTAGATGCCTCTGCTATGGCCTTGTTTAAATAAAAAGGTTATTACAAGTAGGTTTTAAAACTAAAGGGAGGAAGAACTTTCAGCAATATCTATATAATAGGCTTGAACACGGAGGTATGTTATTTCTACAATTTCTACCTTTTTTCGCAAAGAAATGACCCTGGAGATCTTCTTAATTGGCTAGACATAACTCTAACAGATTTAGAAGCAAATTATAAAATAGCAATACTAATTGGTCACATTCCACCTAATGGAATGGACTGCAATAACGGTTGGTCTTCTAGATATAAGGCTATTACAGATAGATTTTAACATATCATTCGATTTTCAGCTTATGGGCATTCCCACAAGGAATGGCATAATAATGCGAGAGCTGTGATATCAGCTAAACCAATTGGTGTTCAGTACTAAACTGGATCTATAACGCCACTAAAAAATAACAATCCATCTTTTAGAGTCTATGAAGTTGACGATTAATACTTTGTACCTTTAAAAGTTCATACATATTCAATGGATATATCTGCGGCTAATCCATAATGGGCTTACGATCATGAGCTGAAGCAGCACTATTCTTTGACTAATCTAAGTCCTTCTAGTTTCGATGATCTCTCAGTAAGAATTTTAAACACAGAGTCATTAGGTCTCAAGTATACTCAAACATAATCATCCTAGGCTTTAGCATAACTTATAACTAGCTGTGATATCATTTGTAGATTCTTGATATATTGCTAGATCAGACAGAATACCTTCTATGATTACTTAAGCTGCCTCGGAATCAATAAGTCCCAAGTTATATTTGGATAGGTAGAGTTTTTATTTGACCCTTGGTTTTAATTTTGAATATATAAAATGGCTTTTGTTTAAAATTTCAGATTTTAGACATTATTTTTAACCCTGGGGTTTTGGGGTTTTGGGG